AGTTTGGGAACGACCCTTGTGTGGATCAGATAAATATCCTGCATCAGCATACCCAATTAGTACATCATTTGGTGTTTCTAGATTTGAGGGTGAACTTCCTTCTTCAACCATTTTCTTAGAATTCACAGTTTCCTTTGTCCTTTTGTATGGAAAGAATAGTCCCATATCACTGGTTCCCTTTAAATACCTCAAAATATTTTTGATACCGTTCCAGTGACATTGCGTTGGCGCAGAGCTAAATCTAGCTAACAAGTTCACTGAGAATGCTATATCCGGCCGAGTACACTGAGCTAGGTACAATAATGCACCTATGGCACTTAAGTATGGAATTTCTGCTCCTAATACCTCTTCATCCTCTTCCTTTGGACGAAATGGATCCTTTTTAGGATCTAAACTTCGGTCGACCATGGGAGTGCTAGCAGTATGCGCTTTGTCCATTTTAAATCGCCTAAGTACCTTTTGGACATACGCAGACTGGTGGATTAATATCCCACCAACTCGATGTTCTAGTTCAAGGCCTAAACAAAATCGAGTTTTCCCAAGGTCCTTCATCTCAAATTCAGATTTCAAATAATTTGCAGTTTCTCTTATTTCATCAAGAGTGCCTATTATGTTCATATCATCAACATAGACGGCTACAATTCCAAATCCAGAACTTGCTTTCTTTATAAATACGCAGGGACATATTTCATCGTTCTTATATCCCTCTTTAATCAAGTAATCACTTAGGCGGGTATACCACATCCTACCAGATTGTTTCAAACCATAAAGAGAGCGTTTTAGTCTGATCGCAAACGCACTCCGTGGTTTAGAGTCACTTGATTTGGGTAAGGGAACATCGTCTGGTACTTTCATGTATATCTCAGAATCAAGATCCCCATAGAGATATGCAGTAACCACATCCATAAGCTGCATTTCCAATTCTTCGGAAACTGCTAAGCTCACCAAGTACCTAAATGTGATAACATCCATTACAGGAGAGTATGTCTCCTCATAATCAATTCCAGGGCGTTGTGAGAAACCTTGCGCCACTAGGCGAGCCTTATATCTTAAGACTTCATTCTTCTCGTTACGTTTCCTGACAAATACCCATTTATGTCCATACAGGCTTTACACTTGGAGGGGTTAGCACTACCGGACCAAATACCTGTCTTTTTGCCAAGGAATCGAGCTCTACCTGGATTGCTTCTTTCCATTTGGGCCAATCCGCTCTTTGTTGACATTCTGCAATAGAGCGTGGTTCGATATCGTCATGCTCTATTATCTCTAGAGCAACACTGAAAGCAAATACATCATCGATGTGTGTTGAAGATCTTTCTAGTAATATATGTGCACTTTCATAATCCATTGAGATTTCTTTGTTCTCTTGAATCATATCAACCATCGGAGCGTCCTCCAGTAATGATTCATGGACATAACTATAATCAGAGATAATCTCATGGGATGGATGTTCAACATCGATGTGTAACGGATTAGTTTGTGCCGCACTCGTCCTTTTCTTCCTTGGATGAGTGTCAATCGAACCAAGTGGCCTTCCTCTCTTCCTTTGAGGAGCCACGGCCTCACCCACACTTCCACTCGGTGTGGATGTAATGCCTGTCATTATGGCATTTTTCTTTTTANGGGCAAGTTGCATGATTATACATGACAAAAAAAATGGGATCTCTGCCTAAATGAAAAGTTTAGTGACCAGCATAAGAACTATGAAATAGAAACACATGAAAGAAAATTTAAGATCAATATGAATCATGACCGAAGCGGGAAAAAGAATATACTCCGTATATGTGTAGTCCAGGAAACCAAAAGCCTATATATATATATATATATATATATATATATATATATATATATATATATATATATATATATATATATATATATATATATATATATATATATATATATATATATATACATATATCTATATGGACCGAAACAGAGATAAATAATTATGTATTTCAATCATGGATCCGAACAAAACAGAGATATATAGCAATCATGGATTTCAATTTTCAATATGTAATTTTCAGAAAACTGATGGTTGGGAGTGTCAACATGAGGGCAAGTTGCATAATTTTCAATATGTAATTGAAGCCAAGCATAAGATTTTTTTTTTTTTGAAACGCAGCATGTAACTTTAAAAAAAACATGTAGATGTACACATAATTGCAGAAGAGTAACAGATTAAAAATAATTGGTGCAGGTTTCTTTACCCTATGTATTGCAGATTTGTGAGAAAAAAAAATCATCTTGACACATACTTGAGAAGAACACAAGGCAGGGCAATTATATAATAATAATAAAAAATTCGATCATGTAGCAGAAGAAAAATCGGAAACTCAATTCATAGAATACCTGGACTTTGGGGGTCGAAAATTTAGGAAAAAAAATCTGAAATTTGGCTCTGCTCTATTCCTTTTCTCGAAATTTGGTCCAGCGGCAAGAAAAGAAGATCCTCAATTTGTCTTCCTCTCGTTTGGGTTTGTAGCGCAGCCAATTATCAAGGTTGTCTTCTCTCTCTGTCGATGGCTTTTGGAAACGAACGAAAGAAGATTGGCGGAGGACGGCGATTGGCGATGGCGGCGTGGGGAAACTCAGATGACGGGAATCGCAGACTTGGCGGCGTGGTCCTTCCGATTTAATTCGCGATGGGGAATCGCGGAGGAGAACGGCAATGGGTGTTCTTTTCCTCTGCGATGTACAGTGGAGATCGGCGGAGAAAAGAACAGGAGAGAGGGTGGCGGACGAAAAAAAACTAGGGTTTTTCTCGAGCAGTGCTGATAACGTGTTGTGGGAAATGTGTGTATTCTTTATTGATAATAGCTCCCTTATATAGGGAAAAGCAGCCTAGGGTTTTACAAGAGAAAGCCCACGGGCCAGTACAACTGTATTACACAATATAAAGTAAATTCTATCTACACAACAGCACACTAATTTACAAATTCATTCAACAACATGAACATATTATTTTACCAAATAATTTTTAAAAATGGGTAATTAAAGTTTGAATTTGTATATAGTAAACATGTAACTTTAATTAGGTCGAACTTAGTATAATTTACAAAGTAGAAATTATATCAAATCGTTTACCCTGGAATATAAAATGAATGATGTAATGTCAGTTTTATTTTATAAAATAAACAAAAGTTATTAAAAATTGCAATAGTGATAGTGGCATACATTTTGGGACTGAGAGAGTATTTATTTTATTGGAAGGCTGAAATAATAAAACGGATATTTTCGGAAGTAAGAGAGAGAATATTGGTTGTGGACTTGTGGGTCTTGTCGCCCTGATCTGCCCCAAAAGATAGACAAAAAGAAGAAGATTTTTCCCAATCTGCCATAAAGCTAAAAGACAAAAATAAAAAACATTTAAACGGATGCAGAAAAAACAAAATGAATATTTTAAAAATATTTTAAAAATATTTTAAAAATATGTACGGTGTAGCACAGTATATTTCTCTAATTTGATCTTTTATTAAAATAGGTCAATAGGAGTAAATATTTCATTATAGAATGCACTTTAATAAAAAAATGAATATTTTAAAAATATTATACAAGATAAATTTGATTAAATCGTTTTATGTTCTTATATGTACTAGTGCTATACTAATTTATAGTTAATTGATCATCAATTTTGTCTATTTTAATTGTAAAAAGCCGAACTCAAACACATTAATTAAGGGAGGTGATATATATTTGCGATTAAGGAAAAACACCGATAAGAAAAGAGAGACCCACTAAAAGGAGGAAGAAGATATAGGAGAATAAAATTTGGAAGTGCCCTTTACAAATTTCATCAAGTGAGAGTGTTCACTTCTAAACATTGGCACTAGAATAAGGTGCATGCCAAAAAAAGGTTATATATACCCCAACTAACCGGTGTTGGTGTCCTACACCTACGGTTGGTGTCGGTACCGGGGGTTCTACCACCAGGACCGGTGACAGAGACAACAACACGGTATGCGGAGCCGGTATCGGAACCGCCCTTCACGATACCACCTGGTGTTAATTTTTTATTATCGGAACCGACGGTAGCGGTACCGGTCTAAATTTGATTTTTTTGGCTTACTGACATTGTAAAAATGTGGTGGGCCGTAGGGAACTCCTCCAACGAATCTATAGACATTTAGATGAAAATAATTACTTCTACAATCATTTAATAGAATGGAAAAAAGAGGGAGATAATGCTATTGATCTTTTTGAGTTATTATTTAAAGAATTTCAAACGATTTACGGTAAAGCACCGGAAAAAACAACACTTCATCCGCCTCCCAAAGCCAAAAAAAGTTTTAAATGGATAGTCGATGGCCTTTTGACAAAAAAAAGTGAACGTAGTTCTGCCTCGATGAGTTCTGGTTGTACAATTATAAGTTTGCACAATGAACTTGCTATGTACTAAGGGGTGTCGTGCGATACGACGAAGACAACGACATGACCTCCGATGTCCCCGAATGGTGGAAGCAGAATGAACACATGTTCCTGTCTCTTAGAATGCTAGCCAGATCTTATCCATGCCGATTTCAACCGTAGCAGCAACATTCTAACCGACTACCGAAGTTGTCCTAGTGCTGAATCGTTTGAGACACTTGTTTGCAACCGAGATTGGCTCTTAGCAAGACGTCGAGCTCAAGAGTCAAGATACGGCATTGATACCGAAAATTACATGAATGCAACCACAGAGGGAAGCCTTAGTTCCGAGAAATAAGTGAATAACTTTTTTTATTTAATTGTAATTAGTTTTTTAGGGAAGCGATATATTACCTTCTTTGAGAATTTCTTTACGGCTCTTTACCTCGTCATTTTTTTGAACCATCAGGATATTAAATGTAGTTGTTTTTGTATTATTCATTTTTCATTATCTTAATAAAAACTACATTTTTAGATATTCTAATTCATAAAAATTAAAATGTTACTCCATATAAATTTCTTTTGCTTTTACGCTTACTCATTTATAAATTATTAAAAAATGGAGGCGGAATAAACCGGATCGGTACAGTTTTGGAACCGCCTATGTGGGTACCGGTGCCGGCACCGTGAGCACCGGGACCAGTAACGAGGCCATGTGGTGGCGGTAGCTGAACTGCCGGTTCTGGCACCGAAACTATATCGTGTCCAACCCTACCTACACCTTACCCTTCATCTTTTTTGCTTACAAAATATCATATCAATTTTTTATTGGGAAATTCTTATGTGGTCCTCAAGTTCATGTCTTTTTATGTATATACTCATAAAATGGTTTTATTTATTCCGTCTTTAAAAATTAAGAAGATACAACGATGAGCCTTGAAAATATGTGAGAAAACTCACATTTTATATATGATTTTTAGGATTACAATATCACAACTATTTTTTACTCCCTTCGTCCAAGCTAAGTATATTTGTTCGATTTGACTTTTTCGAGTCAAACTGGATAAATTTTAAATATTAATTATTTTTATTTTATTTTTCATATTAATACAATAAACTAAAATTTTAATAGGTCTCAACAAGATAAATCTATTAAAATAATTTTTATACTAAAGTACATTACCACTTTGATTTAATTAAGGTCCAAAATTCATCCAACATGACTCAAAAAAGTCAAACTAAACGAATATATTGGGACGGAAGTAATATTTCATGTTCTTTTTAGCCAATTCAGAGGTTTGAGATTTCCCTTCCTTGTCCTTTTATTTTTTAAAGTTTTTTATATCATATAATTCATTTTTTTTAAATATTTGAAAATTTAGGCATGCTAGGGACACACCAAAATATAGTACCCCATTTGTACATCAGACAAATGGGGTACAAATGTTTGCCTGGTGTACAAATGGAATTCCCATTTTGGTGTACCATAGGTTTAATCTTAAAAATTACGTAATAAAAAAGTTCCTAAATATGATTAACAACTCGTACATTACTATAGTAATTGAAAATGAAGATCCCAAGATGGATATTTTTTTTTACAATAAAAAAAAATCTGTTTAGCAAAAGCGCCGACTTCAGGCAAATCCCCCTATTTTAACCCCACTACTCCGCTACCGACCCCACGTGTTCACTTCGGCCCCACGACTTCCGCATATTTGGTTCAAAATCCGAAATGGAATGGTTAGGGCGAGAGACGACGAAGACTGCTGCTATATCCTTTCTCCTTGCAATGCTCTCGAACCTCTTCTTCACTTCTTCTATGCCTTCATTCATCTCAGGAAGCTTCTGTAAGTTCTTCATTCATTCATGACGTTTTTTTCTTCAGAACTGTGTTTTTTTTTTGTTTTATAAATATTTACTTCTCTAGTTCACGTCTTCAAGATTTTTCTGGTTACTGCGTTTTCTGTAATCCTTTTATTCTCCGGCGAGTTTGGTTAAATTTGTAGGCGATTCCTCCTCCATTGTAGGATTATTGAGACTTGGAGGTCTCGCATTCGCTGTTCATCGCCTCTTCCGTACTTTCTCCTTGCTCGTGTTGCGGCTAGCTCGCCGGAGAACACCTTCATTCCTTTACTTCGGTAGGTGTCGATTTATGGTAATATGTAGGTTTATTTATGTCGGAGTTGAGCGTATTTGGTAACTGGCCTCTTCGAGGACTGTTTGTTTTAGAAACTATCGCAATGTTTGGTGTTTGATTTAAACGGTAATGTGCATTGATTTCTCGCATTGTTAAATGTTAGATTGGAAGATTTATAAGGATTTTAATGGAAGGAGCGATTAATGCTGTGATTTGGCTGTAATTTGATGCATTAATGTTCTTATATGTTTATATGTGACCTGAGTTTTGAAATTTTGATGATGAGTGGTTCTGCTTGCACCAAAGAAGTTGGACTCATTTTTTAGGGTTATACATGTGTGTCTTAACACACAGAAGCTACGATATGGTGAAGCCCTGGGGGAGATGCAGTGATTTTGTTGACAATGGTTATGCAGTTCCTAAATCTCGGCCTGAGTTCAAGCGCCGGAAGTGTGGTGGATTCCGAAAACCTCTGGACCGGCACGCCTTCTTAGATGGAAACCTTGACCAGACTGCTCGACGTCCTACGGAAACAAAGACGTATAGGTCCAGGAACTTTAGTGTACCGCGGAGAGAATTGAAAGCTAATGAGCAGAAATTGGCATTGGAGGAAAAATCAAGTTATGTGACTGAAACTGGAGTTCGTCCAAAGCGCGGTGTATGCGGATGGCATCCTTCTTTGGGCCGTAGGGAATTTTTCTTGCATGATGATGATTCCCGTCAGAAATCTTTGGTTGAAAATGATGAAGCATCTCCCAGAGCTAAGGCTGGGCTGGAAGTGCCGAAGAGAACCTTGCAGCACGATGCTCTTGAGAGACCCACAAATTATAAGGGTGTTCCTCTCAAACAGTTTCAACATGCATTTACCCCTTTAATTGATGAAATAAAATCTCAAGGTTCAGATGACTCCAAGAGTTATGGAACTTCAAGTGTTGCTGAGCTGAAAATGACACATGGAGCTAAATCAGATGATGTGGTGACAAGGGATTCTGTTGATGCTGAATGTGTTTGTTCACGGACTGGAAAGGACGATTCTTCTTCTCTTGTTAGCACCCCACAGGGTGGGATTCACTTAAAACAGGATTTCAGTGCGGGACAAAAGCTTGCCCTAGAAATGTCTAGATTGAATTTCGAGTGCACATCAGAGGCAAAAATTTCCAGATGTCAAAGAGAAAGAGAATTCAGCTCTGTCCTTAATGATGACGTAAAAAAAAATTAGACTCCAAACCACAAACACAGTGCTATGGGAAAAGCAGTGCTCTGTCTTTGGGGGATAATTTGAAGTCTTCTTTTGAAAACAATTCTACTGTTGTGAATCCTAGCAGTCAAGCTACAAATGGTGAAGAGGAGTTTCAGTTTGGTGATAAGATTGTAATCCTGAATACGCCAAGAACAGTCCGGGTACCATCAGATCACAATGTTGATGATGAGCATCACCGTTTATTCTACTATTTTGCTGATAATTCACATATTCAGGAATTGGAAATGGCAAGAGATCTCATATATCTTGTTTCTGATCTATACAATGTGGATGACTCTCGAAGACGTGTCAAGGAGGCCATAAATCTTTTCCGGGATGTGCACTCCACACATTCTAAAGCATATGACACAGAGAAGTTAACGGCAGCAATGGCTCTCAAGTCTGAGAAAAAATGGGTCAATTCTGAAAAGTGCTTTGTTGGGCATGTTCCTGGAATAGAGATTGGTGACGAATTCGGGCTCAGAGCTGAACTTGCTATCGTTGGCCTTCATCACGAATTTGTATGTGGCATAGATTTCGTGAGGATCCCATGGCGTAAGTCGGAGACCTATGCTGTCAGCATTGTGGATTCGGGTCGTTACGAAAACCAGCAGACATCTCCAAACACTTTTGAATACGTCGGCCATGGTGGAAATCCAAGAATTGATGGGAAAAAACCCAAGGATCAAAGGATGGTTTCTGGCAATCTTGCCCTGAAAAACAACAGGGACAAATGTCTACCCGTAAGGGTCATCCGTGGGACGAGTGAGACGAGTGGTACCAAGGCATACATTTATGAGGGCCTGTATTTCGTGACGAAGTGCTGGGAGGAGAGATCTGAACATGGCAAAATGGTATTCAAGTACCAACTGCAAAGAGCCTCACCCCAACCAACACCACCAAGTTTTGCTCAGCAGTTGAAAATTCCTCACAGGTCATCATCTTCAGAGTCCAGAGATGTCAGCTGCGCACTCACCGTGGTTAATGACATATCTCAAGGCAAGGAGAAATCACCCATACGGGTCTTAAGTGACTTATACGCCGAGACACCGCGACCTTTCAAATACACAAAGATAATGCTATACCCTCATTGGTACCGCCGTTTGGCCCCACCAGGCTGCGACTGCACGAACGGATGCTCTGATTCCATACATTGCTATTGCGCGTACAAGAACGGAGGCAAGACCCCATTCAACAGCCAAGGATCTATCACGGTTACTACTCCGATCATCTACGAGTGTGGGCCATCCTGCAAATGCCCACCCTCCTGTCCAAACAGAGTTACCCAAAGGGGTCTCCGGTACCACCTGGAGATCTTCAGGAAAGTAGATGGGGGATGGGGGGTGAGGTCTCGGAACTTCATCTCAGCCGGGAGCTTCGTCTGCGAGTTTGTGGGAGAGCTGCTCAAAGACGACAGCCAGAAACCAGAAGAGCCCGACAACGGCGAAGGGTTCGTTCACGGAATTGGCGGGAGTGGTTTCAAGATCGACGCGCAACGATGGGGGAACGTGGCGAGATTCATCAACCGCGGGCCCTCGCCGAATCTCTACGTACAGAAGAGCCCGACAACGGCGAAGGGTTCGTTCACGGAATTGGCGGGAGTGGTTTCAAGATCGACGCGCAACGATGGGGGAACGTGGCGAGATTCATCAACCGCGGGCCCTCGCCGAATCTCTACGTACAGAATGTCGTATACGACGACGATTACGAAAGGGTCCCTCATGTGACGTTCTTCTCCTCCCAGAACATTACGCCCTTGCGGGAACTCATCCGCCCAGTTTGAAGTCCCCACGCTGAGCTCTTAAAAGCTTACATACATACGCAGTACCATATTAACAGGTTTCTGCTCTGAATAGTATTAGACTATATATAGAGTCAGTCAGTTTCCACTGGGTCTGAACTAACCTCTCGCTAAGTCGCTAGTGTTACATGTGAGTATATACCACCAGATAATCACGCCTTGTGAAAAATCCATAGTGTTAGTTAAATACGTGTGTATATTACCTACGTATTGGGTTGAATCTAGACGCACAACAACAGTGGGCTCAGTGCTTCTTGGTAGGGGTTTTATTCATTTTGGTTTACTTGAGGTTTGACAAAAATTAATTTTTTATTCCATTTTATTTAATTAAGAGTGTAAAATTAAAAAATAAAATTTTATACTTTAAAAGTCTACAGAGAATATATCAAATTGGGTTCATCTTAGGATATAGTTTTTGATATATCAAATATTTATAACATTTGTTTATTTAGATTATGTTTAATTTGTGGTTTGGGATGTAGTGTCACTTTTTAAATAAAAAATATCAAAACACGAAAGGTTTTTTTTACACCAGAAGGAGTATGAAATTAGCGTTAACGTTTAAGATAAAAAATTTAATTAACGCTAAACACTGTCGTCTAATACTAAACTTTGACGCTATTCCTAAGCAGGTCTTAAGTTTGATCCTATGAGGTGCGCAGGAAAGAACATACTAACCTTTGGAAGGACAACTATAAAATCTGATACGTATCGTATCGGCAAGAGAAGCTTCGAGTGTTCTCTAACTCCAAGAGGGAGAGAGAGAGACGAGATTGAGGGAAGGAGGGGAAGGCCGTGCGGCAAGGTAGGGGAGAATTAGGGTTTTTATTTCTTACTTATCATGGAGGACTACACCTCTATTTATAGGTTTAGAAAGAATCCCCTTCCTAGTAAACTACGTTTTCTATCCTGACGGTTCAAGAAAAGCGACGAGGTAAAGAACCGTAAAGAAACTCTCGAAGAAGCTTATAATTCGCTCACCTAGTAAAAATCTACGATACATTTAAAATAAAGTAAAATAGTGAAAATCATTAATGCGTAATGAATTCCCGCTGCCATCCGGGTGGTCGTCTGGCCCGACCACTTCTCCGGACCTGGGTCTCTTCATGTTGCTCCGGATCCATAACAAAATCATAATAACAAAATACAACAAAGTAGGGAGTAAAAGTGAAAGGAGTAGCTGCGGAAAGGGTCAAGATATAACGAACTTTACATTTGTTATGCTGCAATGTGTGTAAAGCTAGAAACGTTAATTAAAACCGTTTGTCATAGATTTCGGCATCTCATTCTCTCCATCTCCTCATATTAATTAATGACCCAAAACAAACAATCTGCACATACATATAGGATTAGTGAATGGAGATAGAGCTAATTAATTATATACATACATACATACATAACCCTATAGTATAAAATTAAAATAAAAAGAGCACACCTTACGTACCTATTGAATTGATATATAGATGCACAGATCAGGAAGTGTTAGCAGAGTGTGGGATGATTACGTCAAGTACGATTCAAAAAATTCTCCACCAACAAGATCAGCCCCCTTGTCCTCGGAAACCGACAAGGACGCCGGCACCTAGTTTCTTACCTCGTACCCCCACGACGACTCGCCGCTCTCCTCCGCGACGTCCAAGCGAGAGAAAGGCGGCCGGTCGAAGCTCGCCGAGAATGCCGTCCATTTTATCCCCTTGGTGTTGTTCCTTTGCGCTTTCATTCTATGGTTTTTATCAAATCCTGGTATATTTCACTCCTGCTCCCACTCTGTTCATTATTTTTTTTTCACTTTCCTTTTAGATCGTTCACAAATTTCATTCTCGTTTCGTAATTTGGCAAAAAAATGTTTACCCTTTCATCTACACTATTCACATTATTCGCTCAGATCAAGAGCAAACATACAAGCCTTTATATTCTTTAGCCTTTGTATTGTTTAAACAAGGGCTCAGCTTTTCAGAAATTTTTTTCTTTTTAAATGGACACCTAATGATGTGAAATGAGTGTTATATATGTATGGGCAGATATAGAGGTTCCGATGAGCGGGGAGGCGGTGGCGGCGAGGATAGAAGGATTGACGATAGAGGGGGACGTGGACAGCACTCAAACTGCAGGGAATCTGCCTCTGGAAAAGACTACTGATGATATTATTGGCTTCACGACGACGACTAGATATAACAATAATGATCACATTAATTAATGCTACCTTCCTCGGTTTTTTTAATTCAATTTTGATTTTTTATCGTCAAAATTGATAAAGTTTTATCATTAATTAGATTCATTTTATTACAAAATTTCAAAATATTTTTTAATCTAATTAATATATCATACCATACTCTGTATAACTTTTGTTTCATAATTTATCAAAACTTTGAACGTGAATGACTATTAAAAGTCAAAACTAGATAAATGTTGACGAAGACGTATAAAAAAAAGAGTTTTGTTACCATTTCATTCAATTCTAGCAAGTATTATACTCCACTCGTCTAAAAATTATCTTCTCATTGAAAGCTATGATATTTGACTGAAGTTATTTTCGAATCACTTTATATGAAACATCGTGTGGTATTTAAAAATAAAAATTACATATTCAAAATTTACATCAAAAGATCTGGGAATCTTTATAAAATGATTATATTTTTGGGAGGAAAGAATTGAGGTACGTTCGTACCATCAGAAATTATGTTCTAATAAAATGACTCGGACAACATGTCAAACAAATGTCAATCAAGAGTACGTCACAAATATACTCCCTCCGTCCCAAAAACTCTTTCATGTTTCATTTTTTGCGCATCCCATAAAGCACTTCTACCGACATCTAAAATGCCTAAAATTTACAACATTTCTTCTTTATTGTGTGTAGAAGTTATTTTGAAAGTTTTTTTGGCATTCAAGGCGGGATAGAAGTGTTTTATGGGATGCGCAAAAAATGAAACAGGAAAGACTTTTTGGGACGGAGGGAGTTACGGACAAAATTTAATTTGCTAAAATTCAATTAAAATGGATGAATCAGTAGAGGTAGTAGATAATGTCTCCCTTTATTAACTTTGTGTCGTCCACCTCATCCACAGCATCTAGCGGAAACCACAGCAGCGCCACATCCTCCGCCCGCTTGTACAGCCAAACCTCACCGGCGGCGATCCCCGTCACCGGCCGGATATTCATGTACGCCATGTTCACCGTCACCCTCACCTCCTCCACCACGCCGCCGTCTCCAATATCTTCCCTAGTTGATATCACCCCATACTGCATTTATTTGCATGCATGCACGTACATACATATGTTCATCATGCATTTAATATAATTATCACCATTTATTGAAACAATTAATTTATTAATTAAAATTAAGAATACAAAGTATATACCGTACGTACCTCTCGGTTGAGAATGAGTGGATTGGTTTTCTTCTTCACTGGAGTCAAAGAGACTGAATCTTTCTTTACGCTTATTTCAACTGCATGCAATTATCTATCGTCATTAACTGTTCACAACTCTACGTAAATTATTTTAGTAATTAATTAGTTAAGTAAATGATTAATTAATTACTGGAGTCTGAAAAGGCTGAAACAAGAGTGGTGGCATTGTAGAAGATGCGGGCATTGAGCCTAGCCAAAGGGAGGCGTGGAATGACGGATGGGTCCCTGGTTATATCAGCTATTTTCAGCATGTCAGCCGGACATTTCCCATATATCTTCAACGACAAATAATCCTCCATGTACCCTCCTGCATCCATCCATCCAATAGTCTTACGTTGAAAAATAAAAATATATTGTTCTATATTGAGAAAGTTATTATATTTTAGTTCTATTTAGGTAAATTTAACTTAATATTACTCCCTCCGTTCCACAAAACACTTCCGTTTTAATTTCTTGCGCACCCCATAAAATACTTCTATCACACCTAAAATGTCTAAAATACCCCTAAAACTTCTATCCTCAATAAACTACATAGTGGGGTATATTTTAAATATTTTAAGAGGGAATAAAAGCGTTTAATGAGGTGCACAAAAATTTAGGGCGGAAGGTTTTAAGGAACGAAGGGAGTACTACATATGAAATGGTTACATTTATGGAGTATTGGTGGTTATGCCTCATTTGTTACCATCAATCTATTCAATTAATTACCAAGTTAATGTTAATAATTTCTAGCTGGTAAATACGGGGTCAATAAATTAAACGATAATAATTTAATGAATTAAATAAATGAAGAAGATGAATGAAAGAAGTACGGACCCACGGGGCGGTCGAAGCGGGCCCGCAAATAACCGAATTCGTTGAGGCCGTTATCCACCTCAAGAGACTGGGAGAACTCGATGGTGTCGGAGTCGTGGGCCATGGCAAAGACGGCGTGGAGGTCAACGGCCTCAACCACCGCGTTGAAGAGCTCGTCCGTCGACTGGAAGGCGGCGAAGCCGCGCGGGTCCATCTTCAGGAGGGTCGAGAAGTTCTCTCCGACTCCGTCATCTTCGCCGCCGCCGGGCCCGCACTTGGCCGTGATCATGGACTGGACGGCGAGGTAGTCGGGGGCCCAGATCAGTATCACCATCGGAGATATCTCCGGCGTCGCCGCGTGCGCCGTTTCTCTCAGGCTCTCTGCGTCCACCACCTTTATTCGGAGTACCATTTTCTCTCTTCTTCTTTCTTTTCCGGCGAGTCTAATTCTTGGATTTTCTTTGGGTTTGGATTCGGATGGATCGGTTGAATGATTGGGCGTTTATCACTCGACTACGGCGGCGGAGGATATATAATTAGCTGTGCGTGAATATGGCGGGAGACGTAACGAATTAACCGGTTTTAGAATTGAAGCCGATCGATAGTTAGTTATCCATGTTTGAAACGGCGGTTTAACCCCAAATGACCTTCTAAAAGTCGATTATGTACCTTCTAAATAAAGATTTTATTTAAAAAAAATTCTGTTAAAAAATACCATATCCCTATATTTATTACTCATATTACTTTCTTCCTTCTCAAAACTACAAGAAATAAGAATTTACTTTGAAATTCAAAAAAGTAATAACTAAATTTTGAATCGAAAGAAATACCCACTCCGTCCCAAAAAGTACGACACGTTTCGAAAAAACTGCATCCCATAAAGTTCGTTACATTTCTACTCCTTACTTTTACCCCTTACTTTTTCATACCCTACCTATCAAATCATACTTTTTTCTAATAATATACCCATCACATCTTACTTTTACCCATCACATCAAGGGTATTTTTGGAAAGTCAACACCAAAATATCTCTCCTATAATTTTCCAAAAAGTCAATATGTACCAATCTTTTTGAGACGAAGAGAGTATTAGATAATGTTCCTTTCATATTGAAATAATATAGTCTTATCACATCTTATATTGTAAGACTTTTTTTGCTACATGTGTCGCAAGATTTGATCTTTACATTTACTATTTAGAGGGCTGACAATCACTCTATGATTATTTTCGACCATTTTCTGAATATTTTTTTGGCGAAGATGGGCATTGGTGCCAAAAATTAAAAGGAAAATATAAAATGAACTATGTTACTCCTTATGGTTTGAAAAATAGACATCAATGTCCATTTTCACCAAAAAATATTCGGAAAATGGCCAAAAAATAATCATAGAGGGTGTGTGCAATGTTTTGAAACTACACTAATTTTATAAATAAGTTTTAAAAACAGATGAAACATTAGTACTCATTTTTATAACTATTGATTTATTGGAGCTATTAGGCCTAATAAGTTTGAAATGCACCTTTTATTTTTTACACTTTTTATACTATGTTCCAATTACTCGATCTATTTGTTAAGTTGGATTTTCTAGATTCGAACTTGATGAATTTTATGAACATGAGTTAAATTAAAAAATGTACAATGCAATGTATAAATTGATATGAAAATAATTAAGAGATTCATTAGAGTTTATATATATTCATTGAACTTTAGTGATTGTTGATGCCTTGAAAATTTTGATTACATACAGTTTACTAATATACAATACAAATACAAATTTAAAGTAATTACTATTTAAAATTTATCTAAATTAAATTAAATTAATTTACGTGATTTGATTTTCCTTATCCAGGGTTATGATGGGAGAAATATTATTTCAGTTGTGGTGTGCACAAATTACGAATACAAGCGTTCTATTTATTGGAGACCCAATAATACCTAAGGCTGTAGATCATGGGCCAGGCCGGGTCATCCACAAAACCCAATAATTATGTACTCTGAGTACTTTAAAGGGTGGGCACGAGAAGATTTCAGTTTGGTTCCCATTCCAGAACTGAGTTCTGGACTGTGGAAATGGTGGCCGATGATTAATTCAAGTTCCAGTTCCATAACCTTATTTTAATTTTGTAAAATTGCATGGATGTTTGTAATTTTGATATCTTCTACTCCCTCAATGTTATAAAACCTTTCAAATGTAAACAAAATGCGCCTTAAAAATACACTTTGAAATATCGTCTAATTTTACCCCTATATTACAATAAAATATAATATGATGGTTAATGATGGTGTAAATACCGTGCAAATACTAAGTATAAAAGAGCGAAATGGCTGTAAGTGAAAGCACCTGTAAACCGGTTTGTTATTAATGATAGTAAGACTGTTTACAGAGTACAAGTCGTGTAGGTTAATTAAAGCATGCCTCACAAATTAAGTTTTTAGTCCTATTTATAATAACCTCTAAACACGTCAAGCACGTCTTTGCTATTCTGGCCGGCCAGTCACCCACCGGTCAGTTTGTATGCCTTCGCCAGACGAAGCCATGTCTGTGATTTCAGATCTTCTCACCCCTGACCGGTCAGACTGTCCGGGTTGACCGGGTCATAGGGCGTTGGATTTGATACCTCTCGGTCAGTACGAACCTACCGGGTGGAATCCATGGCTTATTACCCATCAAGTAAGAATGTAAGATATATGATTTATAATTAAAAAATAATATCTTAATCGAGTCTTTTTAATGTATGTTTGATGATGAACCCTAAACATTGTAGAGGTGGATAAAAATATTGATTCGTCATTGTTCTAAACATACCAATATTGTAGCGAACCAAAAAAACAAATTCTTAAATGATTTGCGTAAATTATATTTAGAACAGGACCATCCCATTTTTGGATAGTACGAGACAAGGTTATAAAAATTAGCACAAACCTTTAGTGCTAAAATGTTAAATTAATCAATTAATTAAACATTTCTGTAAGTAAACTTTAAATAACTAATTTTTGTTCTTAATTCTTTGTAATTCCAAAATAATTGTCGCTTAAATGACTTTGTTACGGAGTACAACTAAATACATAGTTATAGTATTTTTTTTACACAAACATCAATTTACAATTATGTTTTGTCAAAAGCTAGATCGAAACAATATACTTACTAAGTAAAAATTCATAAGCTAATGCTGATGGAACTTAAAATTAAAGTATGAAATCTCATTTGTTGAACCCGCATAACGTGAATTAGTTTGAACAATGTCGGATTTGTATTTTGCCCACCCTTAAATCGTTAACACAATCCTCCTAATTTTAAGATAGGAGTATTTTGATATCACTATCCTCCTAATTACTCCCTCCGTTCTAAAATTAACTTCTCATTTTGACTTTTGTAGTCAAACTTTTTAAATTTTGACCGTATATTACGGAAAAAGTACATTGAATTTTTATATAAATTTGTTAGCAATAGATTCATTTTGAAACATAATTTTGAAATATATAATTTTTATAAAATATATTTATATAAAAATTGAAATATCGATAGTCAAAATGTCACATTAAAAACCGTGAAAAATTAAATAGAAAATTAATTTTAGGATAGAGGGAATATAATCTTCACTTACAAACAATCATATCAAATGTTACATCTTTTTTCACATTTTAAATCAAGATCATGGAAGAGGTGTCATTCTTTTTCAAGATATTAAAACCACACGTGCGGCGTGCCACGCTGGCAATCCGGGCAAACTTCTTCCGAATTCCGGTCAGTTTGTTATCGTCTTCTCCCGCCCTCCCCAGCCCTTTCAAACCAGCCATATATTAACCCCTCCGGTCTCCGCCTTCAATGACAAAACCCCCAAATCCCAATTCTCAATCTCCACTGAAACTCCAAGAATCGCCCGACAATGGTGCTGCGTGTGGCCATCTACGACGCCCCCCATCTGAAAGATGCCGTCCAAGCCGTGCCGGTGTCGGAATCCAAGCACATCATGATCGTCTGGTGCCCGGAGTACTTCGCCGTCCAATCGGTTCTCCAGCTCCGCCTCCCCGGAGGGGAAAACCCCACCACCCTCCTCAAGCTCCTCCCCAAAAGCTTCCTCATCTACGAGTCCACCGACCAGTTCTTCAACGCCGTCGTCGAAATCTCCGATCTTGAGCGAGTCTTCTGCTCCGCCGCGACTCTGGACACCGTCGTCTTCTCGCAGTCTCTCGAGGTCAGCAATGGAGTCAACGATTTGGGGTTCTTGCACGCCCGATTCAACCGGCCTCTCGGTGAGTCCATTCTATTCATTCAATTCCCCTCATTAATTTATTCATTCTTGAAACAATCTTGAAGAAAAATCCAGTCTTGAAAGTATAAAATTGGGATTTCAAGAATGCATGCCCTGTTTTCTCCTGCTAATCCATGTTTAATCCGATTCTATACTTTCTTGTCCAGTGAAACAGTATTCAAAATACCCTTTTTTTCTCAAGAACATCAAAAAATGAGGAATTGAAGAACTCCGATCTGCACATTTTATGGTTTTCTTGATTAATCAATCTCTTCATTCTTAAACAATACATCTTGAAGAAAGATCAAGATTTCTTGAACGCATGCTCTGCTTCTTGAATACCCCTTTTTTAGTTAAGAACAAAAAACAAAAAAGACGAAGTGGAAGATATATAAGTTAGATATAACTCGATCATTACATATGGTTTTCTGATTTACCCTGTTTTCCGGTGCCCTGTTTCCCGTCAAGCATTCATAACTTTGAATAAGTTCTGTTAAGTAATGGAATTAATGAATGAATTAATGATGCAGTTGCAGTGCCGTGTTTGGGAGAAGAGTACAGCGAGGAAGACCACACAATATCGATGAAGATCTATGGAATGTTCCCGGAGAGCCAAGTGAAATCTGCAGACGTATCTCGAGACCCATCTCTGAATCCCCTGCCTCCCGTCGTCACCTTCCTCGCCCCTATCTTCGGCCAAGTCATGTCTACTCTCGAAATGAATGCAATGTCTGGTACGCATGCACATATATTGTATGTATATATATATATATATATATGCACCATTCCATTAATTAATGAGTCATGTATGTTTGACGAATGAATGAATGCAGTTGTGGTAGTGGTGCACGCGGAGGAGGCGTTCTTCTCGGCGGGGGGAGGAGGAGGAGAGGGAGAGGGAGGAGAGCCGCCGTATAAGCTGACGCTGACGGGGGCGAACGGGCTGAAGTGGACAAGGGCGGACGTGAGGAGGAGGCCGGTCCGGTTCGAGATTCCGATGGCGAACTTCGAAGTGAAGCCGGGGGCGCAGCTGTCGACGGAGGTGTCGCTGTACAAGCGGTCGGAGGAGGTGACGCTGGTCTGGTTCAAGCTCGACCCCGCCCTCACTTGTCTCAAGGGTGACCTCATCCACTACTTCTACTGATCCCAAATTTGAAGAAGAAGAAGATGATGATGAAACCACAAATCATCATATACATATATATACAGAATATTAATACAAGGTTGCACTATAAATACGTTCAAAAAATTGTCAATTTTTTTTGTAGCGCATGGCTGGATGGATTCATTTGTACCGCATGCAACTACACATTTAGCTATTTTCATAATAAAATTTGCACTAAATAGGACTAAAACATAATGACTTTCCTGATATAGGACTTAAATTTTTTTATTCTCTAAATAGGACTTAATAATGACCTAGTGGAAGGAATAATGTCTAGTAATGATGGACATTTAGTTGAATAATGACTACTTGATAATGACCAAAAGTCCTACATTGGGAAATAAAAACATATGGTCCTATATTGGGAAAATCATTATATTTTAGTCATATTTAGGTAAATTTCTCATTTTCATTCTCTCATATATTCTGATCTCTTGCAATAATCTCTTTTTTAATTTGATCTTTCCTTGGATAATACATTCCCAAAATAATCTCTTTTCAATTGGGTTTGATTAGTTAATGTTGTTATAGTCAAAGTTGTTAAATTAATCCTAGTAAAAATAATGTTTATATTTAAGTTCTCTCCAACTATAAGTTTCTAAAAAAGAGTCTCTAATACACTAGTTATGAAAAATTCATTTCTCGCGTGCCTCAATTCCTTTTATCTTCTATCATTACTTTCATAGTTTCGAAGATCTATTTTATTCGTCAAGAACATAATAAATTTAAATTAGATAGTGTCAAATTATTTGGTAGCCCTTTTCGGATTTTGATATGAATTACAAGTTTATGAGAATTTTTTCCACTTAATCAAGGTACCTAGTATGTGAAATATGCACTTAATTTTTCTCAGAAAAGCAATAAACCAGGCATCATTGAAATATGCACTTAATTTTTTATATTATGGATTTAGTAATATGAAAAGATTGATTAATGAAGTGAATGAGTTTTTGGGGAGATGGGGTCGGAGAAGGATTCAATGAAATGAAAACAATCAAACCATCCTAACATCCGCCCACACTGACCAAACCCATCCGGCCCGAACTCCCTTACAACGCTGAATCTCTTCTTCTCTCCCGCCAAACCGTACCGTATCACTTTCCCGGGAACACTCAGCACCAGGAATGAATCATCCTCCTCTGCCGCCGCATCACCCTCCAGTCCGCCGCCGCGGACGACCGCCGTCGTCAGGAACCTGTAATAGAACGGGTCGGACTCTCTCAGATTCTTGTTGATCGACTCCGGGCATGCTTTCATCACGCTTTCAATGTCCACCCGGAACTTCACGGCCCAGCCGGAGTAGTCCCTCTCCATCTCGTAGATCTCAAATTGCGCCGTCCGGGGACCGTGGATGTCGATGAGGTGCAAATGGCCGGAGGATTCCTGCATATACCGGACCCTTTTCTGGGCGGGCAGTGGCGGCATCGGAAACTCCCCGAAACTCTCATTCTCGGCGTTGAAGTATAACCCGTGCCGGCCATGGGTGGCGGGCCAATTGACGGCGCCGTTCCAGTACACTCCCAGCTTGTAATTGAGGTCCTTGGGTAACGGCCTCTGTAATTTCTTCCACTTCCCGGTCTCCGATGAGTAGACCTTGACGTGAAACGGACCGGGCAAGGAATCGTCGGAAAGGACAACGAGAACAACAGTGAAATGCTGCGAAACTGCGGGATCAAATGCTAGGGTGACGGCGTTGACTCTGTTCCTCCCCTGTTTTTCCGAGAAGGGGGGTTTCGGAATTCCGGCGTAGCTCCGGGTAGTGGGATTGTAAACGTAGTAGCCGCCGGAGCTGGTGGAGCAGCAGCAGAGAAGCCCGTTGCAGGATGAGAGGATTGTCATTCCGGCCTTATCTCCGGCGAATTCCAGAGTCGTGAATGGGGCGGAGCAACCATCCAACGGTATGAAATCGAACTCCGGGACACTCGAGGTCGGGTTTGGGTTGTTGAAGATTAGGCCGGAGATGGGTTTTCTGCGGCGGCAGTGGAGGTATGGGTGGTTGATGAGGGAAAGCCACCGTTTGGAAACGGATTTGAATCGGAGGAGGGAGTTGACGGGCAATCGTCGGAAAATCTCCGTCAGGAGATCGTCGTCGGAGGCCACTTCGGTGGCAGAGTTGTTGTTGACCATTTTACCCTTTCTCTTCCTTTTTTTTCGGTGGCAATTAATGAAATGAGATTGGAACACACACACATATATATATACACACACACATACACACACACCACGTAATAATAATTCTAAATATAGGCACATTTGTCCTAAGCAATTATTTGATGTATTGCGTGATAACAATTCAATATTAGGATAATTTTTGTTTGTACGTCAAACTGTACATCACGCTACACACTAACCCAATTTTTATGTTACATGGGAAAAATTTGTTTATATTGTCCCATACACAATTTTCCTTTTGCTTTTTTGTGGAAAGGGTGTCCCGTAGACCCATACACAATACTTCATCCGTCCATAAATAAAGTTTGTATGCTCGTTACGATATTTGAGTGAAGTTCAATTCATTTTATATAAGAAATGGTATGTAATTAAAAAATAAAAATTACATATTTAAAAATCAAATGAAAAGATTTACAATATTAATGTTGACATAATTATATTATTTTATCAAATAAGATACAAAAATAGACCAACAAAGTAAATAAAATTTGATCGATCTCGTGAATAGTGAAGGTGACTTTGTTGTTGGACAGAGCGAGTATTATACAAAATATATTTATTTATTGTGTGATGAATTCTAATTGAATACGGGAGTTGATTTTACGAATTCTAATTGAATTAGACTATTAACTCTCATTTTTATAATACGGAAAATTACATTACATAAGAGGCGATGTCAATTTTTCGTCTATCGTAGTGTATTTGATCGTCTAATTTAATTTTTTTGAGATCAGAGAAATAAACTTTAAATATTCATACCATTTAGTCTCATTTGTATTGTATATTAACATAATAAACTAAAATTTTAAAAATTATATTCTTAACAAGATAAATCTAATAAAATTATTTGAATATTAATATAAAATATAATTTTTTTTAATTGAAATCTAGAATTCATCTAATTTTACTTTTTTAAAAAATCAAACAGAAAAAATGCAATGTGAATATGGCAAACATTACTCTTAAATTTTATTCATCCAATAATGCATTTATTATTAGATTCCATATTCTCCCACCTCAAATATGCCAGATCCTCAGATGGCCGCATCAAATGAAAACATGTTTATTAATTAGAATATCAGATGATATACGGAGAAAAAATTAATACTTCCCTAAAATCAGGCACATTAGCATGTAATCTAACCAGAACTTAATTTTGCATCCATTCTAAAGAGTTTAGTGTGATTTTCTCCTTATTTTCTCTTTTTCAAAACTATTAGTTTAATTATGAAAAAGTAACACTAAATAAGACTAAAACACAATTCATTTATTAATGTAGGATTTAAACTTTTTTATTTTCTAAATAGGACTTAATAATATCTAGTGGGAAGAATAATGTATAGTGATAGTGAACATTTACTTGAATAATGACTAATGAATAATGATCAATGGTTCTACATTGACAAATACTCCTTCCGTCCTAAAACTTTCTTCCCGCAAAACAAAGAAAAATCCCAAGTTTTTTCAATCTATTTTACTTAAATATTGGTATAGAAATAAAAAATAAAATACACATATTTAAAAACTACATCAAAAGTTCAACAAAACAAGTGGTGACAAGAATATTTTATTTTATCATATAGGCCATGAAAAAACACAAATAAATATAAATTCCCGTGAAGTTGGAATAGTGCTCTGGGAAGAAAGTTTTAGGACGGAGGGAGTAAAAACATATGATCCTATATTGAGAAAGTCATTTTGTTTTAGTCTCATTTAGGTAAATTACCCAGAAGTTCATGTTCTTCTCAACTTAATTTTTTACTTATTACTTATTTTTTTGGGAATAAGATAAGATCAAATCAGAAATAGTTTTAAATATAACTACATTCAGATCAAATCAAAATTTATTTCAATCTGATCAGAACCAATTAAATCCAGTGAAGAGAACATGGCCTAAATCATTGAAATGAGTTACTCATCCACTAATGTCACACAATACTCATGCACACACAATTTCTAATGAAAATGGAAAATGGATATTTAATTTTGAACAACAAAAAATAAGAGAATGAACAAGCAATTTTGATGTTACGTTTTGGATTGCTTTTAAATGATACCGATTAAATTATAAAACGTTAAATCTGAGCGTTGTTATTAAAATACACTTTCCAAAACGCTAGACCTAAACACCTAAACTATTGCCAAACAAAATATTAAAATAATAAAGTCCATCAACAAAAATAGAAGAGGAGTGGATTATATTTAATTTACTATTGTGCTAAGAGGGAACTAAAGTCGTAACACCATTTTGACCACAAACATTATATACACAATAAAGGACTTTCAAAATAAAATATAGACAATAAAGGTTTGTGCCTGTATATGCCATTAGTGTTTGTTTCTGTCTGTGTAATGCATGTGTGTCACTATGTCCTAACATTTTTCTTGTCATTTTGATTACAATCATATTTTCTCTCTCTCTTCTCGATAACTTTTGTTTGTTTGTGTATTTTCATTGATTATTTGATAATAAAATAAAATATTTTTGTCTCATCTTGTTTTGTAAAAGTTTTGATGTAATTTTTTAATATATATTTTTTATTGATGTACTAAGTTTTAAATAAAATGATTTTAATAATCGTAGGATTTAATCTCCTAATTCTCATTTTATAATCAAAATAGGAACTGGAGTAGTATACTTTGTGATCAAAGCTAAGGGTGGGAAAACGTAGAAGCCACAAATGAGGCGAGGTTGTCGTTTGATGAGTATACGTTACCACGTTAATGAACTAGCTAGAATCAAATGTGTAATAATATAACATGAGAAACAACAACTCTTTATGACTTTATGGAAGAAAAAATATGAAAGAATATTGTCTCTCGCAAGAAAATGAGGTTAAAAAGTGTTCAAAAAGTTTGAACCAAATGGACCAATGATGAGTTGTGTCTGAATTGCTCTCCTAGCTAGCTAGCTGCATTATTATTGGATGACAACTATTCCTTCAATCAATATTTTTTCAATATTCTCTTCGTCTCACTTTAGATTATAATATTCCCTTTTAGTTGAAATTAAGGAAGAGTCAAATCAAATTTTTTCCCCCAAATCCCCCAAATATCCTTCCCACTCACATGGATGAATAGTGTGAATAGTGG